GAACGTCCAGGGGGCGCGGAAATCTCCATCGCCGAGCGTCCCGTGGCGCCGGCCTGCACGATTCAAATGTGAGACGCAAGGGGAGCCTAAGGGGTGGCGGGACGACCCGGGGGGAGGGGGAGAGGGGGAGGGGGCCAGCAGCAGCACCGCAGAGCAGGAGCAAGGGAGAGGAGGGAGGCGACGAGGACGACGGGGAGAGGACAAGAGAGGACCGACGACACGAAGACAACGAAGGCGACAGAGGGACGGCGGCGGCACGACGAAGAGGAGGGGACCGACAAACGCCACCCCGAGGGAGAGCCCCGTGGCCCAGAACGCACGCACCCTCCGGCCCGCCAGCCGCCGCCTCCACGGCGCCCTGCGGAGGAACAGGAAAAAACAAAAAACGCGACGCGAAGCGAGGTCTGGGCCTGGATCGAAAATGGGAGGAGAGGAGGAAAGCAGGAGAGGAGCAGCTCACGGCCGCGCTGTGGCCTCAAAGCGCCGCGCGGCGCAGTCACGCAGCTCGCGCCCCAGGCGGTCGAAGATGAAGCCCTGGACCAGGTCGCTGCCATACGGACGCCAGGGTGCGTTCCGACTGCGCGTGGCCGGCAGCCGCCTCCCGCAGAGACTGCTCCATGGCGCGCAGCGCCTCGTGCGCCGGGAAGCCGCCAACCTGGCGCGCCGCGTTGAAGGCCCGGTACACGGAGTACGCGCCGAAGGCCGCCAACATCAGCACGTCCTGGACGTACTGGGCGTCGTCCACCCCGAGCCAGAGGGGCCAGCAGCCAGTCGCGGCAAATGCCCAGAGAAGTCGCGTGGAACTGGCGCGCCACTCTGCACCGGCAGTAATGTTCGATTCTGTCCTTGGCCTCCTGGCCACACCCGAACAAACACATATCCCACGGGCAATTCCGCTCCTGGAACCGTCGCGCAGTGCACCAGCCGTTCCAACCCGCGCGGAAAACAGCGGCGACGACCCCTGGCCGCACCAGTGCGCCCAACATCTGGATTCTCTGCAAGAATCGGTCTGCAATTAATCGCGGCGTTCTGGGGAGCCCCCAACGCTGGAATTTTGACCTCACCCTCCTGTGCGCAGACGCGTGCTGAAGCTGCCGCAGCTGGCGTCGGGCCTCCCGCTGGAAGCCGTGCTTAGCGCGATCCCAGGCTTCTGCAGGTAGTGCCTCGCGCGGCTGCCCTGTGACAGAAGCAACGACGTACTCAGCGTCCAGGCCCTGGCCTCGCAAGGTCGTGGCATTGCGCAGCAGCACACATGGGATAGATGCCTCCAGCCAACTCGCCCAGGCCGCCGCACGCTGAAGGTGGTCTGTTTGGCCCCACGTCGCCCTGACGCCGTTGACCAGGCCTGCCAATCCGAGTGGGCCCATGCGACGGTTCTCATAGGACGCGACGCGGAGCTTGGCGGCCTGTGCCAGCACGGTGAGTTGTCCGAAAGGCTGCGGCATGCCGTAGTGCACGTCGAGGTGCCATAGGTTCCCCCGGGAGAACCCACGCACCCGGGCCCGGCGCCGCTCGTCGCAACGCCCACGCTTCGAGCTCGCTGACCTTGTCGTCAACGTCGGCCACCTGAGCAGTGAAGCTCAAGACGGGCAGCGCGTATACGTTGTAGACAAACGTCGCGAAGTGCAAGCCGAGGGAGCTCCAGGGCCATCCCGCCACGCGCTCCTGGAATCGTGCGGCTGCCCGCCCCATTCCTTGCCGACCTTGCCAGGGCCGATCAGACAACCAAAGTAAGTGGCCTCGCGGCGAAGAGGGAGACGGGCCCACGAAGGGGCAGCAGCCGCAACCTCGACGTGAGCCTCGTCCAGCGGCGCTTCCCGAAGCGGAGTGCCGATTGTTTTGTCGAGGTTGACCTGCATGCCAGACAGCTTCCCGAACTCCTCCAGCGCCGCCGCTAGCGCCGAAAGCTGCGCCTGGACATCATCGAGAACAATGCCCACGTCATCGGCGAAAGCGCGAATAATGCAGTCCGGTCCGGGACGCCCTTGAAGAACGCGAAGCAGTAGGTCCATGCAAGCGGCAAACACGAGCGGCGAAAGCGGGCACCCTTGGCGGATACCAGACCCCATTGCAAAGCCATCCCAGAGTTTCCCTGCTGCTGAGATTTTGCAGGCGCCGTCGGCGTAGAAACCGCGAAGGACTGTCAGGGCCTCCCTCTTCTGGCGCGCCAAAACCTCGTAGGCGTCCGTGTGAGAAGTCATGCGAAACGCTCGGGAATCCAGCGCGAAAGTCCACCAAGACAATCATGCCCCGGCGGCGCCGCGCAGCTGCCCAGAGTGCCCCCGCTTCGAGCTCGATGACGTTCTGCAACAGTGACCGGCCAGGGAGAAAACCACGCTGTGACTCAGAGACCCAGCGGCCCAAGCCTTGCTCCCACATCTGCTTGAAAGCGGAGGCCAAAAGCCGGTTCGACACGTCCACGAGCGACAACGGCCGGGTAGCTCCAGGATCGTGCACAGCGCCGAAAACGGCGTCCACGTCGCCTGCCTTCTTCGGGATACAGCAGAGCACCCCCAGGTTGAAAGCCCCGTGGCCGTCTGGGTCGTCGCTGTGTGCCTCCCGGATCTCTGCGACGGCTGAGTCTTCCTGCAAGCTTTTGGCCGCGTCGTGGAGCACGTCCACAGCGACGCGTCCCAGCCGCTTCCACAGGCAGGCTGGGATGCCGTCGGGGCCTGGCGCTGAATTCTTGGCAGTGCGGACGGCCCAAGCCACGTCCGCGCGAGTGGCGTGCAAGAACTGGCTTCCTGTCGGCAGGGCGGTGCGCTCCCAGGTCGGCGCCGCCTCGCGCAGCCACGCTGCGAGTAGCTCTCGGTCGATGTCCTGTCTCCCAAACACGTGTTGCCACTGATGGGCCAGAGCGTCCGCGATCTGTTGAGGGCCAGAAGTGATGGTGCCATCGATCCGCCTGATGGCACGTATCTGGGAGGTGCCACCCGGCTTCAAACGTGGGATTTTGGCTGCTATGGAATCCCGGCGGGCAGCCGCTGCCGCGTCAGACATTCGAGGAACCTCGCGACGGAATTCCTCTGAATCGTGCCGGATGCCTTCCCTAGCGGCCCTAGCGAGCTGAACGATGAAATCCTTCATGCCGCGCACGCCTGTGTCGTCACCGGAGAGCAGGCCAGACGCCGAGACCTTGCGACTGATTTCGGGGACCTCCCGCACGGCGCGCTCGACGGCCAGCTGGCTTCCCGTTTCGGCAGCCCGCAGACATCGAATCGCGACCACAAGGTGGTCACGGGCCGAGGCCGCTTCAACTACGGAATTCTTCATGGAATCCTCCAGGCTCGTCTGCGCGATCGCGACTATCCCACCATAGGCCTATAGAGGTCTCGCGGCGATGCCCCGACCACGATGTCCACCGCCGACGGCCTGTTCCCACGGCGCCGTCGCGCGCAGCGGGGTGGGCGGCAAACGTGGCCCTGCGGTGGCAGGCGCTGCGGTGTCAGGATAGCTTACCTGACAATGCCCACCGGCGTCTCGTCTTGATGAAGAGGGCGATCGCGCAGACGAGCCTGGAGGATTCCATGAAGCACTCCGTAGTTGAAGCGGCCTCGGCCGGTAAGTGGACAAAAAGTGTCCACACTCATCGCGCCAATATGATGCGAAATCGAACTGCGTCGAACAAATATCCGTAGCCTCCGCCCCCCCAACCCAAAGTTGACGGGGTTGGATGCGAGGCAACGCGCAGGGGACAAAATATGGACACTTCAACTTTGGGTTTGGGGGTGAGGGGGGGGGCGAGCCACATGTATATTGCAAGTGTCGTTGCCATCGTGCCTGATTGTCTTCACGCCGTCGGCGCGGACACTTTTTGTCCGGGCACCAGGGCGTTGGCAATCTGACGGTCCGGGGGATGGAGGTGGTCGACGGACCGAGGAGGGATCAGGATCGCTTTCTTGATGGAAGTCGGGGAGCGCCATGGGCGTGCGCGTGCGCACGGGGAACAGCACCGGGCGTCTGCCACACCCGACACAAGCTGGGAGGCCCTCGTGCACGGTGTTCGTCAAGTTGCGCTGCCTTACCTTGCACAGCACGCGGGGGATGACCAGGCGCATCCACAGGCACGACCAGAGCAGCGCGCACTTCTTGAGCAACGGGCTACCCTGACGCGGCGCCTGGACAAGCTTACTTGCGCTGAGTTTGCTGTGTCTACCAGACCCCAGCAAAGGCTCAAGCCGCTGCCTAAAGAGATCAAGCAGGCTAAGCAGGCCTTCAATGCTAACCGCGTGGATGTTGCGTGGATGTTCGATGCAAGCAGGTTATCGCAGCATGGAAGGCCAACACGCCCTCATCCATGGGCTATGCAAGTGGTTCGCTTCTTCGGCAGCTGGTGCAGGCCGTGAATTCTACAATGCGCCTGCCACCTTTCGCTGGCTACGCAGATGTGCAATTACCATCTGTCCAATCCTGCGGACAACATGGTCCTAGCCCTTGGTCGGCGTGCTGCCCATGATGGCGTGCATACTTGGAGTCCAACCTCCCAAGATTACGCTGGCCAGGGTCTTGCAGGAGTCCAGGCGAGCCTTGAACGCCGCCTCTTGGAGCCTCCCAACGGAGATCTACCGCACGCTGATCTTACCCGCCCGCCGAGACCATCTATGTGGAGATCGGCAGGTGCTATTGCAGCCCAGGACTGTCCGTGGCATGGATTGGGCATTTCGGCGTCTGAGCGGGATACAATGTTCTGATAGGTGTTTGAACTCCGATCTGCTGCTCTGCTGCAATCCGAGTGGGCGCAACCCCTTTTGCTCCGACCAGCGTGCCGGCAGGCTCCGCGAGTCTCGGGCGCAGGCCGCCCGAGAGGCAGTAAAACCTGGGGCCCCAGGCTTGGGCCCACAATGGTTGCGGGAGCACGGGAGAGGGGCAGAGGGAGAGCAAAGAGGAAAGGGATAGGCGGGTTGAGGCGAGCCTGGAAATCTTCACACGCCCTCAAAAGGAGACGCCGAAAACCGCCTGGCTGTCACCTCAATCTGCGATGTCCCGCATCTCATTCGCTCTCACGAGTTTGTGTCCTGCTGCCTCTTCTCCGTCTTCTTAGTGTCGATGGCGGTCTTGCGGCTAGCACGTTGCATACTCTTCTTCATATTGATCGCCGCCGCCGCCGGGTCCTGCACCAGGCTCCACTTGGCCTCCCGCAGCACCTTGTAGAGGTAGACCTTGTCCACCCCAAGCTTCGTCAGCACATCTGCGATGTCCTGCGAGCCGTCGATCCACCTGAGGTGGGTGTTCTCGCAGCGCAGCACCTCTCTGAGCAAGGCGCCCTCGATCGCCATCCTCTTGTCCTTGCTCTTAGCCGAGCCCTCCTTCGTGAGGTGGTCGTAGACGGACTTTGCGTCTGTTGCCCAAAAGCGGGGAAGCCGCTGCACCTCCCCCTGCCAGTTGAGCAAATCCACCGAGACATTCGTAGCCTCTCTGAACAGCACTGCCGCCCAGTCGACGGCCTCCACTGCGTCTGCCAGGTGACTGGCCTCCGCCGCCAAGGTTGAGCGGCACACACGCTGCGTCATGCCACTCTTCCAGTCCAGCACTGCCACCGGTGCTTGGTGTCCGGCCAGGATGCCGTCGGTCGTGAGGAGCACCACGTGGCCACCGCAGCTCTTGTAGCGCTCGATGTCGTCGTGCTCCGGGCCGTTCGCGTGACCCGCGTCCACAGCCGCGCCGATCACAGCGCTGGACAGCCTCAAGTTGGCCGGGTAGACCAGCGCGACCTCAGCGCCCTTCTTGGCCTCAGACACCGCCAGGTTCGCCTTCACCAGGTCCGCCACACACGGGGCCGCTCGGGCCCTCTGCAGCTCGCCCGAGAGGAAGGCCAGGTCGAGTCGGCACTGTCGACCTAGCCAGCCGATCTCACCAGATACCCTCAGCAGTTCCTTCGCCTCATCCTCGTTCACGTCCTCCTGCAACTGCTTCCTTCGTCCTGCTGGGATCTTGATCGGCTTGAGGGAAGTTGCGTAGTTCACCATCTTAACCAGAAAACCTCTCGGATCACTTGAACGCTCACGGCCGCGGAAGGTGAAGGGCAGCTCGCTCCACTTCCACTGGAACGTACCCAGGACCTTCGGCAAGAGGTCCGACAGCTGCATGTCCTTCATCCTCGCCACCAGCACGTCGTCAACGTGCGAGACCGCGATGCCCTTCAGCTGCCCGTCCACGCGCTTGTAGAGGCTAGCGCCGGCTCCAGGCGCGACTGAAGCCAGCCGTCGGACAGCAAGGCGTCACGCAGCGCTAGCCAGAATAGCCTTGCTGCCTCCGCGAAGCCGTAGATGGCCTTGCGGGCCCTCAGCAACTGGCCCGGGGCAAGGCCAGGCAGGCCTCCTCGAGGCTGCTCCAGGTAGACCTCGCGCTGCAGGTTCTGCCCATTGAAGTAGGCGTTCTTGACGTCGCCCAGGGAGAGGATCATGCCCATGGCCACCGCCAGCGTCAGGAGCAGCGCCTCCGCCAGCCGTGAGGCAGTGGGAGCGTCCCGCCTGAACATACCCAGCAAGGGGTCGCGAAAGCCCACCACGACCAGGCGGCTCTTCGCGAGCAGCGGCAGAGGGGCTCCGGCCTCATCATACTTCCCCTCGTTCTTGTCGGTATCCACCCAGCGCATCGGGATGATGATGTTGGCCTTGTCCGCGCGGAGCGCCTCGCTCTCATCCGGCGGGATCGGCTCAGCCGCGTCAAAGTCCTGCCAGGATCGCCACTCTGCATCACGGCTGCCACCACGATCCATGAAGATCCGGCGTTGCTCCTCAGGCAAGCTGCCGAGCTTGATCTCCTTCCTCCCAGGCTTCTTCGTCAGGAAAGCGTGCTCGAACTCATTCCGCATCAGCCCGAAGATGAACTCCTCCTTGCCAATGCCCTCCTGGACGAAGAAAGCCTCACCCTGCTGGTACGTCTCCAAGCCGGCCTCCATGAACTGATCCAGGTCATTGTCCAGCACGAACTTCGCCGAGTCGACAGGCGCCGAGAGGCTGGATCCTGCAGTCCCCTGTCGGATCGAGACAGGGACATCGTCCAGCAGGCGCCGTCGCTTGGCCTCCCGCTCGCGGCGCTCCTCAGTCTCCTCTTCCTCCAGGAGACTCCCAGGACGCCGATGCCGAGAGGCCCCCGGCTCGGGCTCCGTGTGCTCCCCGTGGGAGTCGGGGTGCCAGTCATCGTCGCCGTCGCCCCTCATGATCTCCTGCATCGCCGCGTCGAACTCCATCGCGTCGAAGTCCAGGTCGGGCGGCACGGGCACGTCCTCAGCCCCCACAGCTGGGGCTGGCGCCACGGGCGGCTCGGGCGCGGCTGGAGCCGCGCGGGGAGCCTCCGCCTCAGGCGGGGCCGGAGGCGCCTCCGGCTCAGGCGGAGCCGAGGCGGGCTGCGGCTCCTCCAGCACCTCCGCCCGCGGCCCGACGTCCATGCCGCTCTCGTCGCCCTGCTCAGCGGGCTCCTGCCCCGCCGCGGCGGGGGGCTTGGGCCGGCCTCGCAGGTCCACGAAGCCGCTGCCGCCGCTGACGGGCGTGTCGTGCACCAACTCCTGCTCCTGCGCAATCGATCTCCAGGCGTGGATCTCGTGGCCAGTCGCTGCAGCCAGGTGCTCCGGGCTCGCGAGCACGGTGAGGCCACGGAAAGCAAGCCACACTCCATGCCGTCCCTCATGTCCGATCACGCGCGCCAGCCCTCGCCAGTTGTCTGGATGCTCAGGTCGATGCTTGGCTGGCTGCGCTTGGTCGTAGAAAAGCACCCACTGGCCAACAACGAACGGCCCTCTCGTAGGTCGTATCTGTCGAAGCTCCGCTCGTCGAAGTCGATCCTCCGTGTCGGTCTGGATGAAAGCCATCCGGCACTGGGCCCTGATCTCCACCTTGCGGGCAAAACGCGAGCCCGGCGTAGCAGCTGCCACCTGCTCGCCCACACGCTCCACCTCGGCGTCGTCCGCGAGGCTCGCCGGGAGGCGAACATCCCGGCCGAGGACCCAGAGGTAGGGGCTGAAACCAACCCGCCGGGCCAGCGTGTTCTTGGCCCTGTTGCACTCCGTCACTGCCGTCCTCATCTCCTCAAGGCCCGCCGCCTGCTTGTCGTGCGCCACCCTCGTGAGCATCGAGTTCCAGATGCCGTCGTGGCGCTCCATCTTGCCGATGTGCCACGGCGAGGCCAGAGCGGCCGAATCCAGGCGCACGCCCTCCTGCTCCGGGTAGTCCGCGAACTCGCCCAGGAAGGGCCGCGCGCGGTCCACCATGATCGCCTCCTCCGGCTGGCCAGCCCAGGAGACCCAGCAGAGCTCGTAGAACTTCCTGACCTCCGAGGCCTTGGGGTTCTTGCGAGTGTCCTCCAGCAGGCAAACCACGTGGAAGTTCGTCCCCATACACATGATGCCAAGGAGCTCCCAGTTGTTGCCGGCGCTGTTGACGTTCTCGAAGCAGTCCATCGCGAGCAGCACGTTAAACTCGTCGACCCTCGGGAGCTGACTCGGACGTGGGATGCTGGGTCGCTGCGCTCGCCGGCAGCTCTCACAGACAAACAGCCTCGCTGCCTTCAGCGCCAGCGCCGTTGCCTTGCCCAGGCGCAACGCCCTGAGCAGCGCTGGCCGCGAGGGGTGCCCGAGATTCACGTGCGCCCTCTCGATCGCCCTCTTGACGGCTCTCGGCAACAGCTCCCAACGTCGCTTCCTCTCCCGTGAGGCGTCCCGCTGCTGTGCTGCGGCCGGCCCCTCGGGCAGGTCGCCCCGCTCGTAGCCCGCGAAGTAGAAGACCACCACGTCGTTCTCGAGTAGATGTCGTGGCAACCAGCGCCGTCGTGCTTGCAGGGACTGTTGCGACCAGTCCTCGAAGTCTAGCCTGAAGAGCTGGTCGCCCTTGAGCGTAGTGGCCATCCTGAGCGGGGCGTCCGCGGCGTGCAGCTGCGGCTGCGCTGTCTGGAGCCGCTGACCCCCGCGTCTAGCCTTCACCATCTTCAGCGGCTCGCTGATGACTCCTCCCAGCTCCTCCAGGAAGAGGTCCGAGCCCCAGATGATTGTCTCGATATCCTCGCCCATCTTCTCCAGTAACCTCCTATGCCAACTCCGAAATGTGTCCAGCTCAGCGCACAGCTCCACCGTCAGCAGCTCGAACTCGCCGTACTGCGTACGCCGTCCTCGGCGGAAGCCCAGCGGACGTCCGCCAGGAGGCACTCCGCGCTCGCGGCGAGCAGGCGCTCGGCCGCGCCTGGGCCTCACGGGCACCTCGGCCGGTGCCTCTGGGGCCTCCGCCGCCGCCTCGGCAGGCGGCGCGTCCTCTCCGAGAGGCGGGCCCTCCTGGTGTGCCTCCTCTGGCACAGGCTCTCCCCGCGGCGGGCTCCGCGATCGCGGACGCTCGTGAGGGAAAGCATCCTCCACCGGGAAGGCCGCATCCATGACCAGCGAGCTGCGGTAGTCGATCTGCATCTGCTGGAGCACGCCGCGACAGAAGGCCTTCGCGAGGCCCACGGGGTAGGCCGCCGCCTGCTGCGCCCGATAGCCGCCCGAGTTCCTCCCGAGTAGCTGCTGGTGGGCGCCGGGCGGACAGGCGCAACGCTTGCTCAGTTGGTTCGCCACCGCTGCGCTGTTCGTGAGCCACCCCGTCGGCTTCTTGATCGGCTTGCCCGTGCCCCTGTCGCAGGCCCCGTAGGCACATTGATCTCCGCGCACAAACACAACACCTTCCAAATCCCACAAACGTATCAGGATGCCATCATACCCCCAAGAAAGTGCTGTCAAAGGCTGCTCTATCAAGAAATACCGTCCTCTCGCATGCACACATCGAGATACCCGCCGAACGAGCAAAAGATAACGACGAGCACTCCTGCGGACCTCATCCCAGTCGATGAGCTTGTTCATGTTGGTCATCAAAGACCACGGATGACAGGGAAAAGCCAACACTGTGATGTAAGGCCAGTGCAGGTCGAGGATCCGGTAGAGTAAGGCCCGTCCAGGGCCCTTGAGCAGGTCATAGTCGGGAGAGTGGTCCACATCCAGCGGCTGAGACTGCATCCAACCGTACTCCTTTGCTTGCACCGTAGCGCGTCAGGATGTGCTCTCCACCGAACGGCTCGAACACCACCGTGGTCTGGAAGTCGGCGGTCACGAAACGCTCCGCCTCGAACCTCGGTCGAAGTAGCTCCTCCCGTAGTCGACGATCCTCTCCACGAAGCTCACGCCAGGTGGACTCGAGCTTCTTCCGAGTCGTCTTGGAGAGGATCCCTGTCGCGTCGGTGGCCAGCACACCGCGACCCTTCGACAGGAATGCGTGGCCAACCTCCTCCTCGACTCGGATCTCCTCGCCGTCGGACTCCTCGAAGACCGACTCCTCCTGCGCCTGCGCGTAGAAGAACTCCGAGCCCCTATTCTTCGAGATCGCCGTCGCTGATCTTGAACTCGAAGCTGCTGCCGATCGGTGACCGTCATCGCCTCCCCAGTCATCAAGTCGCACTGCCAAGTGACCGCCCACCTTGAGCAGCTGCACGTCCACGGCGAGCGTCTGCAGCTCCATCCGCATCTCCTTCAAGTGGGGCACGGCACCCAGCGCCTCCTGCGACGCCAGGCTGACCAGGGGCGGGGCGTCGCAGTCCTCCATCTCCGAGCTGAAGATCACCCCGCGGCGGCCGCTAAGGGCGACCGGGATCTCGACCGCGCGCCCCTCCTGCCTCTTGCCGAAGGCCGAGGAGAAGCTCCTCGCGCGGTCCGTCATCTTGATCTCGAGGCCGCGGGGATGCAGGCACCTCTTCTCGAACAGCTCCCGCAAGTGTTTGCCGTGCATAAATCTTGTGCAACCGGTACCGATGAGCGCCACTGGTACGTCAGACGTGTCACTGTCTTCACTCACCATAAGCACCATCTCCAAAAATCCTTCCCCGGGTAATGGGCGCACGTGGCGCCCGCGAGGGGCCCCTCTGGGCCCCGGTGTGGGGTGTGCTCAGGCCGAAGACGGCGGTGGCCGCGCCTCGCGCAGCCTCTGCTCGCCCTCGTTGTAGTTCAGCGTGCCCTTGCAGTCCGGGAACTGACTGCATCCGAAGAACCAGCCGCCTGTCCGATGATTCTGGCGAGCCACCAGAGCCTTGGAGCACTTCGGGCACGGCAGCACCTCGTCGTCCTTCATCGTCGGGAGGATCGTGCTGAGGCTGTCGCTGACCACACTCGCGCTGTCGCCGACGTCGCTGCCCACGAGCTTGAAGGAGCCGAGGTCGGAGCCGCGGTCCGAGCTGACGAGGAAGGCCGAGTCGTACTCGACGTCGTCCAGCACGAAAAGGGCCGCGTCCCTCCGCTTCTTGGCACTGGTGCTGCTCGATGGGCGGGGACTGCTGCCCGAAGCCGAGGGGCTGCTCCATGCCTGGAGCGAAAGCGCCGCTGCTCGTCCACGTGGATCCGCTCGACTCTTCGGCTTCGCCGACGGCTTCGGCCTCTTCGGGCCCATGGGGCACTCCGGGTCCCCCGCCTAGTGGCCGAGCTTGCCGCACGCCCCGCAGTGCGTGCGCTGCTTGTCCTTTGCGATATCCGCCTTGCGCTCCTCAAAAGTCAGCGTGCCCTCCGCCTTGAAGAAGCCACGCTTCCGCTGGAGGTCCCGAACCTTGGCCCGCGCAGTGTCGTAGGCGGCGCACGCGTTGTTGATCGCCTCGTCCTGACTCGCGCCAGCGTCGCTGGCGATGTCCTCCTCGGCGTCACCGTCCTCGTAGGCCTCGTAGACCTCGTCGTCGTAGTCCTCGTCCTGCTCGTCCTCCTCGTCGTCCACGTCGTCCGCCTCGGTGTTGTACACCCTCGTCTGCTTCTTGGACTTGTCCTTGCCGCCCTTGCCTCCGCCCTTCGAGCGTCCATGAGGATGAGGCTGTGGCGGCCGGGAGGTCTTCTCCTGCAGGTGGAGGTCGTGGTAGTTCGTCTTCAGTGTGTTCTCGAAGGCCTTTGTCTCATACTTGTTGTCCGCCACCATCGTGACCAGCCTCTTCTGGTCGTCTGTCAGCATAGTCCCCTCAAGGAGGAAGTACGCGTAGAGATCGTCGCTGAGCTTCGTCCCCGTGTCCAGCTCCGTCAGCTCCTTGTACTTGTTGTGGAACGTCCTCAGGTACTCGACGATCTCCTGGCCACGACGACGGCGGGACCTCTTGAAGAAATCGTCGAACTTCTGCTGCTTGCGCACTACCGCTACCTTATCCAGGCCATCGAGAGCCTCGATGATCTTCTGGTGCGAGCCGTCCTGGGTGAGCGACGCCAGGTCGTCCAGCAGGGGCTCCACCGCCTTCCACGCGCGGCCCGTGAGGCCCCGCGTCAGGCGCAAGCCCAAGTTCGCCCGCTTCTCCTTGCCAGCCTCCGTTGAGCTCGACTGTGTGCTGTACTCTATCATCACCCTCATTCGATATTCTCGTAGAAGAGCTATGTTCTCACCGTCCCAGTGCGGGATGCCCTCTTTGTCGACAAAGAGCTCCTCTGCGGACTCGTCTGTCATACGGGCCATTCTCTCCGCCGTAGATCGAAAACCTGCTCCGCGACCAGTTTGAACTCCGATCTGCTGCTCTGCTGCAATCCGAGTGGGCGCAACCCCTTTTGCTCCGACCAGCGTGCCGGCAAGCTCCGCGAGTCTCGGGCGCAGGCCGCCCGAGAGGCAGTAAAACCTGGGGCCCCAGGCTTGGGCCCACAGTGGTTGCGGGAGCACGGGAGAGGGGCAGAGGGAGAGCAAAGAGGAAAGGGATAGGCGGGTTGAGGCGAGCCTGGAAATCTTCACAAGGTGCCTGTCCGAAGTACCTCGGGGTTGGAGTCAATCTTGCGGCGGTTGTCTACCCAAGCCCAGGCCGAAAACCCTTTTAAGCACGAAGCTGTGTGCACAGGACGTGATTTGTTTCTTAGAGGCGTCGTCTCTCACTTCTCTTCCCTTCTCCTTCTACGGATTCCTCTTGCAGTTCCATCTATACCTCCTTCCCCTCTCCTCTTGCTCCTGCGGCATATTCTGCTGTTCCTGCTGCTAATGGTTCCTTCTGCTGTTGCTACTCTTGCCCCCCCCCCTACCCTCATCCTCCTCCTCCTCCTCATCCTCCTCCTCCTCATCATCATCGTCATCCTCTTCCTCGTCCGCCTCCTCCTTCTCCTCCTCCCTCTCCTTCTATTCCCTCTCCTCCTCCTTCTCCTTCTCCTCCTCATCCACCTCTTCCTGCTCCTCATCCTCCTCCTCCTCGTCCCCTGTCCCTTCTCCCTCCTGCCTTCTGCTTCATCGCTGCTCTCTGTAATTCCTCCTCTCTACTCCCTCGTCTGCACTCCCGCCTTCCACTCCTCACCCTGCTCCTCCTCCTCCTCCTCCTCTTCCTCCTCCTCCTCATTATCCTCCTCCTCCTCTTCCCCCTGCTCTCCCTACTCGTCCTCCTCCCCCTGCTCCTCCTCCTCCTCGTCCTCCTGCTCCTCCTGCTCCTCCTCCTCCTCCTCCTCCTTTTCCTCCTCCTCCTCTTCCTCCTCCTCCGCCTCCTCCTCCTCCTCATCCTCCTCTTCCTCATCCGCCTCCTCCTTCTCCTCTCTCTCCTTGTTTTCCCTCTCCTCTTCCTTCTCCTCCTATACCTCCTCCTCCTTTTCCTCCTCCTCCTCCTCCTCCGCCTCTTCCTGCTCCTCCTCCTCCTTCTCCTCATCCCCTGTCTCTCCTCCCTCCTGCCTCCTGCTTCCTCGCTGCTCTCTGTGATTCCTCCTCTCTACTCCCTCCTCTCCACTCCCGCCTTCCACTCCTCACCCTGCTCCTCCTCCTCCTCCTCCTTCTCCTCCTCCCCCTCCCCCTGCTCTCCCTACTCGTCCTCCTCCCCCTGCTCCTCCTCCTCGTCCTCCTGCAACTCCTGCTCCTCCTCCTCCTCCTCCTCCTCCTCGTTCTCCTCCTCCTACTCCTTCTGCTCCTCCTCCTCCTCCTCCTCCTCCTCCCAGCATCATCATCATCATCATCATCACCACCACCACAACCACCACCACCACCACACACCACCACCATCATCATCATCATCATCATCATCATCATCATCATCATCATCATCATCATCATCATCATCATCATCATCATCATCATCATCATCATCATCATCATCATCATCATCATCATCATCATCATCATCATCATCATCATCATCATCATCATCATCATCATCATCATCATCATCATCATCATCATCATCATCATCATCAGCATCGTCATCATCATCATCAGCAGCATCATCATCATCACCATCAGCATCAGCATCATCATCAGCATCAGCATCAGCATCATCATCATCATCATCATCATCATCATCATCCTCATCCTCATCCTCATCCTCATTCTCTTCCTCTTCCTCTTCCTCCTCCTCCTCCTCTTCCTCCTCCTCCTCCTGCTGCTCGTCCTCGTCCTTCTCCCTCCTCCGCCACCCCCGGACCACCCAAACCAGTTTCGGATCTCTGAGATGCCCCTAAAGCCCCACGGAACCGGAACCAGGTGCTCCTGAACAAATATCGGCAGGAATTCCGCTAATAATCTCGTCGCTCACCGTGGGCAGCCTTCGGGCCTCTGGGACCTGCAAAGCAGGGCGCGCGACGGAAAGCTGGTCCCGGGGACGGGGTCGAGACCTCCGGGGCCCACGCCGTGACAGAATCAGAACGACGGAGCTCAGGGCTCAATGATGGAGGAGGTGGTAGTTCGGGGCAGGAGAGGCCTCGAAAGGGTATTCTCGCCGTTGCCCGGGAAGAAGAGGGGGCTGTACAGCGGGTCCTGTTTCTGGCCCGTCTTCGTGTGCACGAAGTGCTGGTAGTTGGCCTGGTCAGTGAAATCTCAACCATAGCGAATGCTACCTGAGTGCGGTTGGATGCCCCTGGTACATTCCCAACACACGTACTTTACCAACACGCTTGCGGTTGTCCTTAATTTGAACACAAACACCTGTGGGTCACTCTCTCTCCACATACCGCTTCCTCCCTCCTCGCTCACTCTTCTGAGCGTCTGCTACTTCCCTCGTCGCTTCCTCATCTCCTCATCTCTCTCGACGCACACACACACCTATATCGGAGGTTGGGGGGTGAGTCCGACGTGAAACGGAGACCCCCCCTACCGGGAAATCTATTTCGGTTTCGGGTTCGTGTCGTGCGTGCCGTGCGTGCGTGCGGGCGAGGCGAAGCTGCGTGGGCGGGCGAGACGAAATCCTCCTGTGGCTGGGCCGCGGCCGGACCAAATGTAACTCCTCTGGCGGCCAGTGCCACACGGTGTCCCGCCGGTCCCGCGGGTGTCCCGAAATCCTCCTGCGGCTGGGCCGCGGCCGGACCAAATGTAACTCCTCCGGCGGCCGGTGCCCCGCGGTGTCCCGTCAGTGTCCCGCTGGTGTCCCGTGGTGCCCCGTGGTGTCCCGTGGTGTCCCGTTGAGTGAGATCGGTAATGGAATCGATAGTGAGATCGATAGTGAGATCGATACTGAGATCGATGTGGTGCCCCGAAGGGTCTCGCGGTGTCCCAAAAAGTGAAATCGATAATGAGATCGACAGGTGTCCCGTGGTGTCCCGTTGAGTGAGATCGATACTAAGATCGATACTGAGATCGATGTGGTGCCCGGACGGGTCCCGTGGTGGCCCGTGGTGTCCCGTTGAGTGAGATCGATAGTGAGATCGATGGTGAGATCGACAGGTGTCCCGTGGTGTCCCGTTGTGCCCCGTTGAGTGAGATCGATAGTGAGATCGATAGTGAGATCGATGTGGTGTCCCGAGGTGTCCCGTGGTGTCCTATGGTGTCCCGTTGAGTGAGATCGATAGTGGGATCATTAGTGAGACCGATAGTGAGATCGAGAGGTGTCCCGCGGTGTCCCGTGGTGTCCCTTGGTGGCCCGTGGTGTCCCGTGGTGTCCCGTTGAGTGAGATCGATAGTAAGACCGATAGTGAGATCGAGAGGTGTCCCGCGGTGTCTTGTGGTGTCCCGTGGTGTCCCGTGGTGGCCCGTGGTGTCCCGTTGAGTGAGATCGATAGTGAGATCGATTGAGTGAGATGTTGGTTCCACCCCCTCTACCCCCCCCCACAACCTCCTTATCACCCGAAGGGTGGTCGTATAGGTAGATATAGATACAAATATGAGTACACAAACATTCAAATAAGTAGAAGAGAGAGAGAGAGAGAGAGAAAAGAGAGAGAGAGAGAGACGCATATATACTATCTCTACCTGTGGCGTCGTCAAGCGCGCGAGCCCCGCCACTTCCCTGCGGTCCCGGGCAGCCCAGGCGGCATGGCAATGGTGAGCCGTGCGGCATTCCAGACTGCGCCTCTCGCTGCCCTGGGGGTGCGCGCAGGGCCTGCCACCGTCGCTCGCCACCTGCGCCTTCTTGGGGGGAGGGGGAGGCGCCCTCGTAGGAGGAGAAGGGAGGTGGAGGAGGAAGGTGGAGGAGGAGAAAGAGGAGGAGGAGGAGGAAGGAGGAGGAGGAGGAGGAAGGTGGAGGAGGAGGAGGAGGAGGAGGAGGAGGAGGTGGAGAAGGAGGAGGTGGAGGAGGAGGAGGTGGAGGTGGAGGAGGAGGAGGAGAAGAGGAGGAGGAGGAAGAGAAACAGGAGGAGGAGGGGGAGGAGGAGGAGCAGGGGGAGGAGGAGGAGGAGGAGGAGGAGGAGGAGGAGGAGGAGGAGGAGGAGGAGGAGGAGGAGGAGTGGTGACCCGCGCGGGCCCAGGCTGGGCCTCTCGCCCTCCCGATGGGCACCTGGGGCTGCCGCCAGGCGCGCAGCGATATATCGCCGTGTCCCTGCGGCCCCTGGGCCGAGTGCGTCGGAGCGGTGGCCCACACGGGCCCAAAGCAGGCCCTCGCCATGCCCTGGGCGCCCGACGCAGGCTCCCTGCGCCTCTGGGAGGAGCGGGGGGCTCTCGCGCGGAGAGGCGGCCCGCGCAGGCCCGAACCGAACCAGCGCTCGCCAGCGTCTCATAGTCCACCTTTCCGACCGTTTTTCGTTGTTTCCTCATCTTCCTCCTCCTCCTCCTCCTCCTCCTCCTCCTCCTCCTCCTCCTCCCGATCGTGTATCGGCTCCCCAGGACGTCCAGAGGGTTGCCACACCTGGGAATGCCACCATCCTCTGATCCCTAGGAGAGGTCAGCGTAGCAGCTTCCTGTGCAGGTTTCGCGAAGAGGCTGCGTTGCCCATGGTACTTCCACACGCATCTGATAGGTTGGGCACAGCACTGCAGCACACTTTCTTAGCTGAGGTCCGGCATGTCCTGCTACAGGCGGACTTTGGAGGAAAAAACATCATAGTCAACAAATATTCAGAAATTGTCAAAAGACCACGAAACATCGTCAGCACATTATTCTTTACGAGTCTTGAATGCTCCTCCTGTTGAAGGACACGCCCGACTTACATCTAAACCAAGTCAAACCACACGAGGTGGCGCAGTTCGGCCCGGAGCGGCCCCCGCATCCAGATCAGCCAGCACGCAGGATGAGGAGGAGAAGGAGGAGGAAGAGGAGGAGGAGGAGGAAGAGGAGGAGGGGGAGGGGGAGGGGAGGGGGAGGGGGAGGAGGAGGAGGGAGGAGGAGGAGGAGGAGGAAGAGGAGGAGGAGGAGGAGGAGGAGGAGGAGGAGGAGGAGGAGGAGAGGAGGAGGAGGAGGAGAAAGAGGAGGAGAAGGAGGAGGAAGAGGAGGAGGAGGAGGAGGAGGAGGACCCCCCGCCCGCAGGGCCGACCACGCGCGTTGCGACTTTGGTTCCAGCCATCCTGCGCGGGGTCCTCGTTTCGAACAGGGCACCTCAGCTCCTCTCCTCATGCCGCCTACTCCTCTCTCCCGGCTTCCCATCTCGACTCCTCCTGCCTCCCGCGTCGCCTCCCTGGGATGCGCCAGGAGCTGTGGGCACCTCGGAGGGGTCCTGAGGAGTCCTGCGGGGTGCGGTGCTTCGCAGATCCAAACAATGACTACGCCCCACTTTCAAATCCAAATTATTACTCATCCCGTTGGCGATGCCAACCGTGCAACCGCCAGCACTTTCGTGGTCTCCGGAGATGTCCTGCAGAGTGCGATGGTTCGCAGAGCCAGCCTCGCACTACCCTCCCTGGGCACTGCCAACTGCACAACTGTCGTTACTTTCGTGAGCTTCTGGGAGGTCCAGCGGAGTGCGGTGCTACGCAAACCCAGACATATCAGTTCCCACCCCGCGAGCGCTGCCAACTGCACAACTGTCAATACTTTCGTGCGCTCGGGGGAGGTCCAGCGGAGTGCCGTGCGATGCAAGTCCACGCTATCACTCCATGCCCCCTGCACTATATGCTCAACCGTCCGCATTTTCGTGGGCTCCTGGCAGGCTCCGTGGAGTGGCGTGATGAGCCATCTCTTTGGCGCGCAATGCATGGGGTTCCCACGGTGTTCCCAGAATGGGCAACGCGCCCTGTGAAATGTTCATTCGTATTGGATGCGCACATTGGTGTTGCCACTTGCTTTGCACGGGTTATTTCAATCCGTGAGCCCCAGGGCTCTCGACTCCTTCCCCAGGCCCAGCTCTTCATCCCGAGCAGTTTTTCTGATGCCCCCAGGGCCCGAGAGAGGTCCGCGGAGGCTGTAGTTGGGGCAAAACGGCAGGATGGACAGCACACGACGTCGGAGGTCTGGGTGAGGCCAATGTCACCCGCCCCGGGGCCCCTCCAAGACACCATCCTAGATACGTCCTCGAGCTGCGTCCAGCAGCCGAATGCAGCTCGAGACTGCATCCAATATACCCCAGCCGCGGCTACATGGCTGGACTCCAGCCGCGGCCACGACTGGACTCCAGTCGTGGCCAGGAGGGGGGGAGGCACCCCGAGGAGGAAGACAGGGCGAGCAGCCTCTCCACGAGGCGAGGCGAACCGACAGCCGCGAGGCGAACGGGAAGCAGCCCGCGGGGCCAGCTGCTCCGACCGCGAGGAGAGAGAGCAGGGCCGAGCACTCTCGGGGCGCCCCCACCGCGCCGGGAGTCGGCACCCTCTGCTTCTCGCGCCCCAGCGGCCTGGTAGCCCTGCGTCGACGCCGGGTGGACCCGCAGTGGCTTCTCGGCCTGCCCCGCCGCGGGCGCGCCCAGGCAGGCCCCGTCGAAGGCGTCCCGGAAGCTCAGGGCCGTCCGCGGGTCGGGGAAGTTGATCCGCCGCCGCGCCTCCCGCGCGGGGCCTGGGGCGCGCGATTGGTTACGCCACAGGCTGCGCAAGCGGCGGCCGATGATAAGAAAGGTCGTGCCATCTGACATCTGGTTGCGCCATAGGTTGCGCACTGGACGGCGTTAGTCAAACAGCCTGCTATGGGTTGCGCCATAGGTTGCGCACCCGCCAGCCGAAAACAAAAAGGCCGACCATCGCTTGCGCCATGAACCGTGCACCCAGCAGCCAGAAACAAAACGGCCTTGTGACGGGTGCGACGAGCCCATTCCAGTCCAGCACTCCAGTTAGCTTACCTCGCCAAGGACAATTTCCAGCTACGCCCACCAGCAGCCTGCTAGGGGTTGCGCCAAAGGTTGCACCCTCGTCTTCCAAACACAAATAGCACGCGTGCCCTGGCTCGCACGCGAGGGAGCAGCGAAGGACAGCAGGAGCATGGTGAGGAAGGTGGGGGGTCTCTTAGAGCCGTCCTCAGGCATCCATGGGGCACGCATAGGGTGACGTGTTGGGGGGGGGGGGTATGGAGACCCAAGGGGGGCCGTCTCCCATGGGCCAGGACACCAGATGGGAAGATGGACGGGGAAGGGGGGGCAAGGGCGAACGAATGACGACTAAGGACGAAGACAGACGACAACTCCTCTGGGCACCCCTCTCTCCCCTCTTGACCAGCTCCCCTCTCCGGCGCCCCCCCCCCCTCCTCCCCTGGCCCCCCTTCTCCCCCTTCTCCCCTCTCTCTGCTGCTCCCCCCGCCCCGACCCCCCCTCCCTCCCCCCCACCTCCCCCATGGCTACTCCATCCCTTCCCCGTCCTAGAACAAAGATCATCAGGCCATGGGGAGCCCGAGGAGCAGGGCCAGGAGGAGCAGGGGGGGTGAGGCCTCACGCCAGGGGGGGCTCGAGGCTGTGGGCCAGGTGGGCCCAGGGCCCTGGCCCAGAGAGCAATTTCACGAGGTGGGACGGTGAGGAGGGGAGCGAACGAACGACGAGCGACGACGACGACGACGACGAAAATGACCTGAGGTTCCCTCCTTCTCCTCCTCCTCCTCCTCCTCCTCCTCCTCCTCCTCCTCCTTCTCCTCCTCGTCCTCCTCCTCCTCCTGCTCCTCATCTTCCTCCTCCTCCTCATCCTCCTTATCCTCCTCATCATCCTCATCATCCTCATCCTCATCCTCATCCTTATCCTGATTCTGAAGGGCCGACGCTGAACGCCGGCGCATGACGACGAGACACAATGAGCCGACGGCCAGAGGGACGGGCCATCAGCCCAGATGGCTGAGGACGAAAGACGACGAACGACAGGAGGGGGGGTGGCTGGGCGCAGAGCGGGGTCACGTGGGCCAGAGCAAGGGGTGAGACGAACGAGCGAACAAAAAGCAAAAAGCTCTGAGCTCTGGGACACAGCCGTGAGGGAGGGCAAAGCTGCCTGCCACTGGTTGCGCCACAGGCTGAGCCCTCGGATGCATATGATAAAACTGCTGCTACTGGCTACGCTATAGAAGGCACCCTCGGGTGCCGAACCTTAAACTGCTTGCGAACGGTTGCGCAATAGGTTACGTCCTCAACTGTTGAAACTAAAGCGGCTTGCAAATGGTCGCGCCACAAGTTATGCTCTGGGCGGCAGAAAATAAAACGGCCTGTTAATAGTCGCGCCATAAGTTGCACCTGCGGCTGCCGAACATACACACAAGTATTTGCGCCATAGGCTTCGACCTGGGCTGTCGAATCTTCATTTGCCCTACATTAGTTGCGCCACATGTGTCGCACTTGGCTGCCGAACTTGGGTTACGCCGTAAGCTACGTGCTCGGCGGCCGAACATAAAACGGTCAGCAAATGGCTGCGACCAGTCCAATCAGTCGCTCAGTGCACATCGCGAAGAACAATTTCTGGATATGCCCGAAAACATGACGTCGGATACATGGGTGCGTCGCGCGACCCGTGTGGTCTTGAAGCAGACGCTGCTCTTCTCTGCAGTTCGGCTCAGCTACGAGTCCCTGCGAAACGCATTGAACAACACCCCAGGAAAGTCAATGTATTGCCCGCTCATGGGTCCAAAAGTGTCTCTATCTCGGCGGGACACAAGTCAACTCCCGCCACTGCAGCGGCCCTCGTTCTGCTTCCGCTGGCGTCCGCCGAGGAAGACATGAAAACGTCTTGATCCCTCGAAGACGAGGTCCTATCTGGAGCGCCCTGGCAATGACGGACAAGAGTGAGGGGGGTATGGGTCGCGGGCGGATCCCGTGTGGGTCGCGGGGCGTTTGGCGGGGAGTGATGTGGGCGGGTCCGGTTCGCGTGCGGATCGCGGACCAGTCGCCAGCGGGCCGAGGGCTGCTCGGGGGTTGTAGGACGGCGGCGGGTGCGTTCCACTCGGGCACACGGCCTGGCGGGTCGTGTTTGGGGGGGATGGGCGACAGCAGCAAGAAGGGCAGAACTGAGACGCGACGCCTCTCAGAACCTTTCTCGCTGACCATCGCGGAGGAGCCCAGCGGGTGGCAAGGCGAGGCAACGACCGACGGAGAGACGACGAGGACGGCGAGACGAGAGAGAGAGAGAAGGGGCGAAGGGGGAAGTGCGGCGGGGCGGCGCCGCCCCCGGAGCGGCTCAGGCCGCCCCCTCCGGCTCCAGGTCACGCACAGGGGCAGGCGTGGGACCGCTCGGAGCGCTCCTGCTGACGCTGCGGACAGAACGACGCCCGAGAAGTACAGGAAGCACGCCAGGACGTCCCCGAGACGGCCCAAGACCACCCCCAGACGGCCGCAGAAGCAGTTCAAGAAGGCCCCAAAGCACCCCAAGACAGATGGCCCCGGTGACTGCCCCCAACGGCCCCAGGAGGCCTCGCGACGACCTTGGATCCCACGACGGTGCCGGGCTGCAGCGTTGCTTCGCTGCTTCCACAAGCGCGGATGCAAATCTGCGCGGCAGCGCACTTGAATGAAGCCGTACCCAACGTTGACGCCCTTCTTCAGGTCCCACGGCAAGTAGAGGAAGTCGAAGAGACCCTATGGTGGACGGGGGGCCAAACCAAGCCTGTCTCAAAACAAATCAAAATCACGCAAACGCGGATTTGATTGTGCTCACGTGTTTTCGCACGCCGTGAGCAGTGTGATGCACCAGAGGCTTCCCACCTTGTATGAAAACTAGAACCATCGATTGCGCGCTTCGCGCGATCTGTGGCGACTTAACCTCCGAATCTGCTACCGCACTGGCGGCGCGAACTAAGGCATCTCGGAACTCTCGCAACCCTATTGAAACTATCCTGGCCTATCCTTGAGCTCTCATCGGGCTTCCAGAAACAATCCTACACTGCAGAACGTACGGGAGGAACACTCCTTAGCCTTCCTCTCTTCCTGCTGCGTCGCCACCTCTGGCGTCTTGGAGGTTTCTTGGGCGCTTCGTGGGGCGCCCGGGGCGCCCGCACGGTCCTTTTCGTAAACTATTGGGGCGTCTTTGGCTGCTTCTCAGAGGCT